GAGGCAAGAAAATAATACCCCAAATGGAAATATAGTGGCAGCCAAAATATAAACCAAACATAAAATTGTCTCAAACATACCCTTAATAACTAACTATCTTAAAAAGATATAATACCCCATCTTAAATTCTGAGAATCTTCCTCTCTTCATGTCCCCAAATAAATGTTTTTCTTTCTACCAACTTGATAATGATGCAAAGGACCTCTTATAAGAGCATTAAACCTGCTAGTATTTGAAAGTCAAGAAAATCCACAATGGTGAAATAAAAAAAGAAGGATATATTCTCCCTCCTTCCCTTCTCCGCTCCCTCGACTTTCCACATCACAATGACAAAAACCATTCTCAAAAAGTGATCTTTTTGTTTGAGACACGCACGACAGAATGAATATTCATATATCTCCTACTCCTAAATCTAAATCCTCACAAACCCTAATTAAAACACCGAATCACCTTTCAATAACCAAAAACTCCACCTTTTCTCATTCCGGCAAAGTTATCACGCTTCTCCTCCCAACTTCACTTTCATAAGAAATTCAAAACAAGCATGGCTTAAATCCATCCAGTTACAGAAGATGGGCAAAGAGCCTGAACTCCAACCCCTAAAAAATCTCGCGTAATCTCTCCTCCACCATCTCTTCCTCCTCCAATATCATACATCTGAATACTGTAATGGCTTCCCTCTAGTAACTCTCCGACCAAGCTAGACTTCATGTCCAAGCCCGCTAAAACCGAAGGACCGCCGCTCGATACCACGCCCATTTGCGCCGCTTTCTGCAACAAAGTGGTGGCCGACATCTCTGGTGCCTGCTCTGGCATCATCCGGCGCTCTTGTTGAGTGCTAAATAGAAACGGCATGCTTCCAAGAGAAGAATTGTTGCATGAATCCTTAAAAGAAAGATTTTGATCGGGTAGTTTGCTTTCATTATAAATCCAATTCAGCTGACAGTCAAGTTGCTCTGAGTTTGAGCAGGACAGGAAAGCAGAGTTAAATGGGGAGAGATTTGGCAAGACCATGCCTTCGTTTGTATCTTGGTTCATCCAGAAAGAGAGTCCAGAGGCAGGGAGTGGTTGTAAATTTGGTCTTGTAAGATTTTCATTGAAGTATGGGTAATTCATTATATTGGTCATGGAAGCAGGATTGTTTATGTTGGAAGCAGCAGAGATCCTTGCGGCTTCTTCGGCTAGCGCGTCGCAGAAGGCTCTGTGGGTTATAAAGCTGTCCCTCCTGTTTGTTTAAAAGGAAGAAGAAGATAATTTTAGTGACTAAAGGAAAAAGACAAATGGCATTTATGTCTAACTGATTGGAAATGTAGTTAGTTTTTTGTCTTTAAATCATAATGGTTTAAGAGGGAGAAAGAACAGGGAATGATTGAAGGTGGCTTGCATTTATTACAAGAAATTTATTGAAACAAAAAATAAAAACAAAAGAGGATGCCATGTTGTGCTTAGATTTATCAATAATATTCTATGAGAAATTGGCAAAAATGCATCAGAAGCTGCCTTGGTAGTTCCCATTACCTTCATTGTCATTATAATTAAAAGAAAAGAAATTTGTTCCATAATGATGAATTGAATATCTATATATATATATACATATATATAGATATAGACACACACACATATAGTATAGTTCATGATTCATCGTATTTCTTTTCAAGGACAAATTTATAAAAACATTTTATAGTAAGAAAACATTCTTAAGAAAGTTAAAAACGACTAACATCAACCTTTTATCCTGAGACAAGTTTAAAAATGATAATTTTGAAATATTTCACAAATCTTTCAAATAACTTGACTTAATAATATTATGGATCGAAGAAGCTTAAACATAATATATTTCTGCATTGCTAGAGCTCATTATTCTATTTTATAAATATATTATATCTTATATGTAAAAAAATAACGTTTGACGAGCTGAGTTCTGTGAAGATATATACTAAAAGCAATCCTCTGCTTTGAAATTAACAAGTTATACGTGAACTAATAGTTTAATGCAGAGGACTATATATCTCTTTAATTAATTGTTTCTCTCCCATATTAAACCATTTTTAATATATTAAAAACATATACCTTGAAAAAATGGTTCCACAATCACAACGATACTCTCTGGTGCCGCAAACCTTCGCATGAGCCTTCCAATCCGACTGTACTGCATACCTCTTAGAGCACTTATCACACTTCCACTTTTTCTCACCATGCTTGCGGCAAAAGTGCTTTTTGATGCCTGTGAGATCTCCGAGCGCCCTCAAGGGATTATGGTGAATGCAAGTCTTCTCTGGGCAGACATACACCCTCTTCCTTGGCTCTTTACTGCTCTTCTGCCTCAGCTTCCATGGCAGATTATGGCCTCTTCGGTGAAGCTGAAGGTTTTGGTCTCTTTGAAATCCCTTGCCACATATCTCGCATAAGAAGCGGTTTGTGGCCATCAGAGTCTTTGGAGACAGGGCTATCACTTCTGCTTCAGGATCTAGATTCAGGGATGAGATGGTTAAGTAAACTCAGAGAGAGAGAGAGAGA